GAAGGTGTCCTTCTGGGTTTCAGGTATCAGTACCCCACCATGGATGAGCTAGCCAAAATGCTGCCTCGCATTCTTATACACTTAAGGTGAGTCCAAACTCCAGTCTTCCATTCGGCGCTCCTCATTGTTGCAAATCAAACCCAGGCTTCCACTCCTACCAACAGGTGCTGTGCTGCTGAGCTACCTCCCCCACCCCCTAGTCTTCTGTTTTCACTCTCCCTTTTGTGTCAGTCTCTTGCAAATGTAATTTAGTGAGCAAAAGATGAGTTAGTTAGGACATCAGCTGCTTTCTAAACAGTCGCCATAAAATGCCTTAAACAAAGCGGGACTGGAGGTGTAGCTCAGTGATAGTGCAAGCACTGAGCTCTGAGGTTGATCATTAGCACCTTCAACACAAAGAAAGCATGGGATGGACTAAAGTGGGTGGTAACTGATGGCAACATTCCCAGGTAGATTTGACAGAATTTGCTGATGGATTTTGAGGTAGTGGGACAATGAAGATGAATTCCAGATTTCAGGCATTGTTCATTTAACCATAAAGGCAAATTTTAAAGTAGGTAGTATGGCTGCTGGGAATTGTAACCATGAGGTCCCAGGTTCAATCCTCAGCGGGTGGGGTTGTGAAAGAGAAAAAGAAAAAGAAAGGAGAGGGAGGAGAGAGGAAGGAGAGGACAGTGTTTTTGTCAAATGAGGGTACTAATGCTTGAGACTACAAACAAAAAGCTTACCCAAGTTCCCACCGTTCCTAAGTGTGAGCCTGGCTATGCGCCCGGCTTGTATTCCTTCCATTATACAAAGACGCCAGTAAACACTGTCAATTGTCCATCTGCCTTGTTCAGTGTGAAGAGCATCATTGGTATTGGAGTGGGAGCAGGGGCCTACATCCTCAGCCAATTCGCGGTAAGTACAGGAAGGATTAGTCTCAACTCCTGAGGCAGAGAGAGTGGGGGTCCCAGCCAGGTGCCTGCTTGTGTTGGCTTTGTAAGTCCCAGCTGCTCCAGCCACATGTGTGTGTAAAGGCTTGCTTTGTGTGTAGAGGATCTGAAATCCACACATGAGGACAGGACACTGTAGAGACCCAGATGCGGCTTCTGGGGGGATTGTTAAAGCCATGAAAAGTGAGCTTGAGCAGAACTGACACCATAATGTGACAAAACAATGGGACTGCACTTTCCTACCAAACCCTGTGGAAGGGATTCCTGCTGTGACGTTCCTCCTGGATCCCAGGAACGTGGTTTTGGGGGTGGCATTGCCT